AGTTTTAAGAACAAAAAGAAGTTAATGAGTTCTTATCTAACAGCCAACCAACAGGGCAATAACAAGAGAACCATCTGAGTAGGTCAAAGGGAAATATGGAATCAGAAAAGAAAAAGTGACCTCAACCCCATGTAAATTTTTATTAACTGCTTACCACTTGCAAGACACTGGCAGTGTTGACAAAAGTTGGAAAAAAAATTTGTGGTAAGACTCTGTATTCAACTTTGGATTTTCAGATTTCAAGTTGGAAAAACTCTGGTCTGTGCAAATGTGTTGTCCTTCATACACGATGGGGATGCTTCTGGCCCACCTAAACATGATGTATTCTGAATCATCACACCCAGTACAGGGTGGTCCTTTCTTTCCTTTTTTCTCATAAAAAGGTAATATTCAAATTCCTAAATTTGAGAAAAGTATAAAATGATTCTCCTTTACTAACCAGTTCCTTTAAATAGCAGTCCCCAAGAGGGAATTAAGGAGCTTGTTTACAGATCATTAACTACTTGAAGTAGCTGAGTAAATTTATTAGCAATCACAGCCAACTAAAGACCCACAAGTTTCTATGTATCAAAATATCCTTTGTAAACAACTTTAGAAGAATATTATACAGGGCAACATACATTGGTTCTAAATGACACCTCCCTGCAAAAAATAAAATGTACAAATGTATGATCTTGTCAGCAAAGGATAGCTAATAGCTATAGCTAATTAACAGACTTCTCTCCATACAAGGTAAAAGTCTAGAAGAACTCAGAACAAAGTAATATGGAAACTAGAATTTAAGTAACTATACCAAATAGGAGCTCTGGTAGCATAGTGCCTAAGGCACTTCACTGCAAACCAGAAGGCTGGCGGTTCAAACCCACCAGCCACTCCTCAGAAGGAAGGTTGGGCAATCCTACTTCTGTAGTGATACTGCCTCGGAAACCCAAGGAGGGGTCGCTATGAGTCTGGTCTGACTCCATGGCACATAACAACACAACAAATACCAAATCGGATAAAAGAAGTAATCAGTATCTGTGAAATCTAAAAAAGGTAAGTTTTTCTTATACTTCTAACTCCTGTTCAAAGACTGCCACTAAAATAAACAGTACCTGTTCTGATGAGAATCCAGAGATACTCATGATATAGAGAAGACAGGAATGTCAACTTATCAGAGCCTTTCTCAAGGAATCTGAGAAGTGCAGATGTAAACTATAAAACTACATCAAGAATTAGTTCTAAAATAACGCTGACACAAGAAGGCCATCCCATATTTTACCTGTCAGGTTAATATCTAAGCAGAACTCACCAGGGCTCTACTTTCAACTGACCCTTTTAATGAATTAGAGCTACACATGCTTTATTCAAATAAAGAATACACTATAAGCAAAAGAGGCTTCTTTTGTGTTCTGTTCCTTTTGTTTTGCTGGTTGTAAGGGTCTGAGAACAGCAAATGGTCTGATACAGGCTTTCCAGAGGAATATGTCTATCTTAGGCAGTTTTGTCAACAAGCCAGATTTGTGTTTACTCTATGAAGAAAAGAATCAACTCGGCACAATGTCAATTTCCAAAGGTCCAAGGACAGCCATCATCCCTGCAACACAAAGTTAGCAGAAAAAGAAAGAGAAATAAATACTAAGTGCTTATAGTATGCTGGACAGTAAGTTTGGTTCAACTGATAACTAACTGCCAACACAAAACAAGGATCCTCTTCAACTGTAGTATAATGTACACTATCCTTACAACTCAAAGACTCCTTTTCTAACCTGAAATTATCCTGGCAATAGGATCTGAAATCACCATTGACAGTTATAACAAGCCTTACCACATGAATCATAGTATAGCTATTAATACCATCCCATGAAAATTTTCTTTAGAACTTAAGTGTCAGAAAAATTGTTCTTGAATAATTATTATATACACAACCATGTCTACTAAGAAGACTTGGTTGCTAGAAATTTTAGAGCAGCATGATAACCTTATCAACCATCTTAGGATTCAGGGTTGTTTTTTTTCTTTCTCTAGCTTTGACTTCCTACTTAATATACGTGTCCTGTGTAATAATCCATCTCAAATGTTCTTTAAAAAGAGGGAATATAAATATACCAACAGGCTGCTGCTGCTTTTTAAAAAAATTTTAGTGTTCCCTCTCCTTCCATGCCTCAATAGGCTTTTGTTTAAAAAGCACTCTTGCTATCTCAGCTTCCAACACGCCTGTATCTCCACCTATTCTAAACAACAAGCACTTATCTGACAGATGAGAAAACTGAGCCCAGAAGCTAATTAATTTGCTAAATGTGGTAACCATTTAGTTGGCTTCTTGACACCGCAATCAAGCCTTTAATCAATCCAACAAGCCCCATTATCTACACAGTACCATGCTAGACTCCAGGGGCATACAAAACTGAGTTAAGTCATGATTACAGTTGAAAAATCCAGATATTTCTGTTTTAAGTGATGGACATCCACACAATGTGAAACAGTGAATAAAAGTTCACTAGAAAGCTATACTGGGATTTGATTCAGGACCATCAAGGTCACCCTGAAGTAACCTATATTCTTTGACTGGCACCAGAAATGTCCTCATTTCCCAGGGGCCTCCAGGCCTGGAATGATTCAAGGATTTCTTGGTGTAGAGCCAGGCTGGAATCCACACAGGTGAAGGACAAGCACTGTGTAGAGAAGCCTTTTCCTCGTATCATTCAGTACCATGCCAAACTACTCTTCCCCTTATTTTCCCCATGCTTTCTCACGTTATCAACACATGGCAGAGGTACAAAAGTGACTTAAGTCACAATGTCCAACTAGGGTGAAGTTCTGAAAAATGCATTGATTACCTAGGCCTTAACAGGTGACCTTGAATTAGTCCTCAACTGAACCATTAACTAAATAAATGTCTTTTATCATCACTAGAGGAAGGATAATTAGTCATCATAAAGTACTTTAATACAAGTGCTGCGTAAACGCTAAACAATAATGCTCAGAAAGAGCAAGATTAACAAGAAACATGGGGGCACATTTACCAGCAAATGGAAACTCATAACAGGGTCTTCCCACATCTCTGGCAGGGACTGCTTCTTTCAGCTAATGAAATATGAGTCTCTCAAATCATTAGCACTTGGCCTAACAATAATACACATTAGCAATACTCCTCCTGGGAAGAAGAGAAGAAAAAGGTTACTTATTCCTGGTAGGCAGCCATACTGACATTTCAGTTACTTGGTAGCCAGGTGGGCAATTAATATTTGAATACCTACTATATGCTAGCTAGGAGCTAGGCACAATGGATACAATGATGAGCAAGAGTCCCAACCTTTACGGGAGTTTACAAACTACAATGCAACCTTTGTCTTATCAATAGCGGCATTTGGAATTAAGAATAAAGCCAAAACTCTCACCGCCATTGAGTCAATTAGACTCAAAGTAACCCCTCCTTGGGCTTCCAAGGCAGTATCTCTACAGAACTAGGTTGCCCAATCTTCCTTCTGAGGAGTAGCTGGTAGGTTTGAACCACCAGGCTTTTGGTTATCAGTCAAATGTCTTAGGCACTACGCCACCAGAGCTCCCAAGTAAGAATAAAGGCTTACTAAAAAAAGGCAAGTAAGAATAAAGACACTTAAAACTCTGAAGCAACTAAACAAAAGAGGATGGGATAATGGGGAAAGTAAGAGTCCAGGGAATTAGGGTATCAGGCCCTTCCCATTCTTCCTTCTAACACATCTGAAATACTATCTATACATAACCATTCTAGGAGCTCTGGTAGCATAGTGCCTAAGGCATGTGATTGCTAACCAGAGGGCTGGCAGTTCAAACCCACCAGCCACTCCTTGGAAGGAAGGTTGGGCAATCTACTTCCGTAGTGATACCACTTCGGAAACCCAAGAAGGGGTCATTATGAGTTGGATCTGACTCAATGGCAGTGAGGTTGGTTTTTACAACCATTCTAGCTGTAAGGGTTTGACTGTTTCTCCAAAGAATTGTTAGACTACAAAGGGCCACAGCCCCAACAAACCAGTCAGCTGAATGAAGAGAACTAAAAATAAGGTTAATCAAGACTTTTCAGAATCAAGGGATCTTCCCCTATCTTTTTCAGGCTTTCTGATGGTAAGAGCCCAATTTTGTGAGACTAAAGAGACAAAGCACAATGTTTTGTCAATGCTGCATTTGGTATCCGGAGTGGTGGATTAAATTCTTCAAGAAAAAAAAAAAAGGCATCTCTCCCACTTAAGACAGCTCAGTTCAGGTGCAGGAGTCTCCAGAACTGTAACAATTTCTGTAATCTTCACTTTGTTTGCCTTACACAAGCAATGCATCCCATCAAACACTGCAGGCAGAGACAGCCTTGAGATATTCTCTTTATACAGGAGGGAAATATTTCTCCTGGTTCTCATTAGTTTCAGAAAGGTCACCTTCTTGCAAAGGTTCTCTAGTCTATTGTGAACTGGGTGCCAGGCATACAGGAAGTCAAGATGTGGTTGGTAGCAAACGATCAGAAAGCACAAGGAATCCCAATTCCACCACTCAGAGAGCTATTTAAACTAAAACCCCCAAAGTTCCCATTTAATCTTGCACAACAAGAGAATGAAAAGGGTGTCCTTTGAGTTCAGCCCACAGCACAATAAACTAAACTTGTTCTGCCTCAGTAAGTGCAGTAAAGAATGAGCAATCATTCCTTCCCACCCACCTCGCCAACCCACCCAAGCTCCTTTCTCAAGGGATGTCTTAAGTGATCTATTCACACGACTCTCCATCAACCTGTATCCGTGACAGTGTCTGCTGTCACCAACCTCCAAACGTTAATTTCTTACAGATGTCAAAACAACTGGGAGACGGTAGAAGGTGAAAAGCATAGTTCTCTTTTCAAGCTCATGCAGGCTTCACTGCTTTCACCTGCAAAAAACAGCTGGGTCCACACATTCTTTTCTCTTGCCTCCAAGCTAGCAAGCAGTTGCTGGATAAACCGACCACTGTTCCCAAAAGATCTGCCCGAAAAAGCTCTGCCGGATTTACTCACTCACCTGAGGGGAGCTTTTCTGAACTACCCCTATATCCTTGCGGCTGGTCGTAGGAGCCAGCTGAGTTTGTTCAACCCCTCATTCCCCTCTTCGAGGCCCATCATGCACGAAAAGTCAGTCGAAAATTTAAGGCCCAGCCCTACCGGGTTTAAGAAACATCCCGGAGTACTACGGCCGAGGGACAAAGGAAAGCGAGGTCACGGACGGCCTTTCCAGTCCGGGATGGGCCTGGGGCCGCTCACCCGTCACCCCTCACACCACCCCTCTGTCCTTAATCACCCCAGACCCTAGCCCCTAAAGTCCTGAACTAGCTGAAGCCCGGGGCTCACTCGTGCCCCTTCCGCGAGGCCCGGCGGGCCCCTGTCTCCACCCAGAGCCCCCGCACCTTCTTGGGCGCCTTGGTGACGGTGGCCAGGAAGGAGTATTTCTCGGCGTCCTCGATCTCCTTGGCCTGCTTCAGCTCCTCCCCGACCCCGGGCAGCGGCATCGCGTCAGGCATCGACATCCCCCGGCCGGCCCGGCCCGCGGCTGACCCGCCGCCCCCGCCTCCTTCCCTCACGGTCGTCTGCCCGCCCGCCCGCGCGGCGCCCTCCGACACGCGCTCGCCCACCCTCCCGCCCGGCCCCAAGCTAGACTGAATTTGGTTCTGAGGTACTGCGGCCAACGCCTCGTCAGCTTAGCAGACCAAGACAGCGGGACACCGACGGCGGCGGTAACAGCCGGAGAGGGAGCAGCGCGAAGCTCCGACCAGCCCGCGCAGCCACCTCCGCCGCACGCAGACGCTCACGCAAAGTAAGGGCAGAGGACGGGGACACCACGTTAAGTACTGGCAACTCTGGGGAGGGGGTAAAAGGCACAGGGAAGCGGGATGTGTCGTGACATCATCACGCTGGGCTGGGCAGGGCCACAGAAGCCACCCCTACTTCTCTCGTTGATGGTGAAGCTCCCAAGGCGAACCGGACCCTTTGCGTCGCTAGGTGGCACCATCAGCCTTGTGAGCGGCTCATCGTTCTTGCAAGGACGAGGCGGGATTGAGGGTGTTTGGACTGCGGGGTTCCCGTCAAGACTTCAGAGGGGCGAAAGAGATGCTTGGGAGCAAAGACCGGAGCCCCACAGGTCACATCCTACAGCCATTCCTAGAAAAATTCTGGGGCCGGTGACAGCCCACTGACTTATTGCCCCAGCCCCAAGGACCTTTGGATCAGAAGCCCACTCCCAAGGGGCACTGTTTTCTTCTTCTGACCCTATAGGGGTGGGCAGAACAAAATCAGAGCAGTCTGGTTCCTGTACAACCCTTCATGATCTCCGCTGACACCGCCTCCGCCTAGGCCTTGCCTGTTTCTAAGACCTTTCGGCCGCATAGCTGATGTTTACCACCGCAGCCATTGAAATATGGGTTGCTGGGTCAGAGGGTGGAAAGTAGGAGGAAGGAGGGAGAAGTCCCCAGTCTGTAAACTTTTCTGCTTCATGCTCCACGTGGCCATTATTAGGCGTTGCTACATCGGCACTCATGGACATTCACATTTTTATTGGACCCTACTTTTTTTTTTGGGGGTGGTGGTGGTGGTGGTGGTGGTAGTGGGGGATTATTGTGTGTAGACTGGGTGCTAAGACCCTGGATAACAAATGCAAGTGTGACACATTTTATGTGTTTCAATGCTTAGTCCAGCTGGAGGGAGCCCAGGTGGTGCAACAATTAGGTGCTTGGCTGCTAGCTGAAAGGTTGATGGTTTAAACTCACACCGTGGCTCCCTAGAAGAAAGATGGGGGCAGTCTACCTCTGTAAAGTTACAGCCAAGAAAAGCCTATGAAGCAGTTCTACTCTGCCACATGGGTTTGCTGGGGGTTGGAATCAACTCCACAGAACCCAACAAGTCTGGCTGGAGAGGCAGAGCCTGTATGTAACCTAAATGTCAGCTGAGGTAGCTTGTCCCTTGAGATTGAAATGACTTTGGCTCAAACTCCCATGTCCTGTGGAAAGTCCAATGCCCTCGCCAGATTTCTGTGAACTACTGAGTGGACTTACTGTTCATGGTCACCTCTGGCCCCAGTTTTCTGCCTCATCTGAAGTTTTATTCACTACTCTGGTCTTGTGACTATTTCTTTAGCTCCCGTTGTCAATTCAAATAAGGAACATAGCCCCTTTTCCTTTCAACCCCCACCCTTAACTCAAAGCATCCACAAAAATAAGGCCGTAAGATGTGACAGAATTTTAATGAAGGTTTGTGTGTCACAGGGGAAAGGTTACATCACACAGCAAATAATTTAAAATCACATTTTTGAAATGTTCTGAAAAGTTATTTTGGCTCTCTTACCACCTGAGATTTCTCATTGGCCACACTACCCACAAAACTCCCTCACCCACTGCCATCTACTCTAGCTCCATTTTCTTAGTCCCTTCCCATCCCTCTGCCTTACCCTGCCCTTCTTGAGTGTCTCTGGGAAGCTGGATTCCTCTCTACAACTCTCAGCAATTCAAGTCTTCCTAGTGCCTTTTCATAAATTCCTTGACCAGTCCACCTTTTTAAGTCCAGAAATCCACCAGGTCTTTAACAGGGCCAACCCTTTCAAGAATAGATTTGTGGTTTGAAATTACATTCTTCCCACTGTCCTGTGTTCAAGGTTGGGGATAGTGTAGAATAGTTCTGGGGCCCCCAGAAGTCTTAGTTGGAGAAGTACACATTCCAACCACTCAGCCTCATGAGGCTATCCACTTGAAGTGGGCTGTGGGAGTAGCTAGAAGGATGCCTACTTTTGCAGACCCTAGTCTTGGAGCTGTTAGGATTCTCTCATCTACCCACTTTTTAGAACATTCAGACTTCCCTCTCTACTATAGAACATTCTTATAGAAGAAGGGGCAGAGAGATGGGGGATCGGAGTATTAGATTCATCCATAAAAGTTTTAGACTAGCACCTTTCTCCTCATCTCCCAGCTGGGACCAGGAACCACAACTAGCTCACCCAAGACTCTTTGAATATAAGACCCGCAGTTGCTTTCATCCTGTGGGTTTGCATGAACTGCTATCAGAGCCCTGGGGTCAGAGTCACCTGCTTGAAGAACAGAAGCAGAACCTGTTAGAAATTTGAATAGAAAAGCAAGAGACTTAGGGTAGTTTAGAGCTCTGGTGGTACAGTGTTTAAAACACCTGGCTGCTAATCAAAAAGCTTGGCGATTCGAACCCACCAGTCACTTTGTGGGAGAAAGATATGACAGTCTGCTTCCATAAAGATTTACAGCCTTGGAAACCCTATGGGACAGTTCTATTCTGCCCTTTAGGGTCACTATGAGTCAGAATTGACTCAATGGTCGTGGGTTTTGGTTTTAGGGTAGTTTATTTTTTAAAAAAGAAAAGAAAAAGAAATCATAGCTGCATCTAGCTTTTGGATTTAATTGTTACAAATCACATTGTCCAAGTGTTTTGCCTGTCAGTCTTCTAGTCTTATTGTACATTCTATCTTTCAGACTCTGACATTCCTGGAGATTTTCTGCCTTTCTTTGCCTCTTCCTGGAGCAAAGTCACAGGCTTGCCCCTACACCAGACTCATAGTGTTGGCTGTTGCTGCAGTATGGTAAAGACAGGGCCAGGACTGAAGGAGGCAGTGCCTTAGCAGTTTGGGCCAAGAAGGTGACTAGCACCAGGTCAGACTCCCCTTACCTGAATGTGTGGTCCAAGGAGAGGCTTGATGAGGCCAACCCCGGAGAGCTAAGAGTGCCTGGGCTGGAAGTTGAGAGGGACAGCACTCTCTGCCCTGGTTGGAAAGGCAGCGGGCCTATGTAGTTCATGTCAGGCCAGGGCCCAGAGGAGTTCCTGGAAATCAGACCACTTCAGAGGTCATGAGTGACTGCCATCCTCCACTATGCGTGGACTGAGAATCTAAGAGCTCACCTCATCAGGGAGTGTGGTGACATAATTATCAGTGAGAACCATTGCATGCTACCCTCATACTCCTAAGATGGTCCCTAAAGGAGTTGCCTCTCATGGATGCCCAGGAATGATTTGTCTTCAGCCACCCACCCACCTGACTCAGTGCCCGCCACTGAACAGCACAATCCACACAGTGAGAGAACTGTCCAGGGGCCAGCCAGTGTTTGAGACAAGCAAGGATCCAAGGATAGGTGCATGCGTGTGTGTGGTGGGGGCAAGTCTCCAAAGGACCTATACACCAGTGGAGCCCTTATTCTAGAAAGGGGTGTGGTGAGTGTGGAAGTGAAGCAGGAGATGCTGTTACCAGAAATGTAATGGCCCTGGGGTGCCACATATGGGCTTGTCCTGATTGATCAAATGCACTCTTCTGTTTACCCAAAATTTACCCTCCACATTAACTCATTTGTTCTTTTAGTCAGAAAATATATGTTGAGTGTTGGAGTTGTTTAAGAGTAGTACTAGATTTTGGGACTACAGAGAGAAATGACATGAGGTCCCTGATCTCTGCCTGGGGACAGGAGTAGGGGTGACTGGGGAGAGCTTCACAGAGGGAGATGCTGTTTGAGCGGACTCTTGAAAAATGAGCACTTGTACAAGGCAGGGAAGGGGTTCTAGGCTGAAGGAACCACATGAGAAAAGGTAGGGCAGTTGAAACAGCTTAGCCTATTATGCACCTATGCAGGCAGGGCATATGGTACAAAGTTGGGCAGAGGGAGATATGAAGCCAGAGCGAGATCATGCAAGGCCTCATAAGCTGTAGGTGGATGGTGGTGCCAGCCGCCGTAAGAGGGAACATGGAAGCAGGTCTGGATGGAGGAGCTGGAGAGATAAAGAGACGGTCTGAGATATACTGAGTTGGATACATCTGTAGAGCACATTGTCCCTGAGTTCCAGGGAAGCCTTGGTTGGCACCTTTCACCCCCAGCCTGGCACCCCACTAGAGAGAGGCCAGGCTCTTCCTGTAGGCTTCCTACGTCCTGCAGGTTAGGCCCCACTTCAGTTCTTGGGAATGTAGTAGTGTGTTTGTGAAATAACTGTAATTCAATCAAAGCAGAATGCAAAATGACTTGTACAAACTGATCAAGGTATATAAAAATTAGCTTCTGCAAATTGTTAAGAATCAAGTGAAATTAGAAAGCTGTGAAGAGATTTTTTATTCTCAGAGGTCCCCCCCCCCTTTTTAGAATGACATTCAAAATAATAACAGATATGATCATAACCAGCAGAGCAGGAGGCAGAGAAGGAGGAATCTTGTGGGAGAAAATTACAGATCTTGGGTGGCTTATTCTGAGTTGCCTTCACACAATTTCAACCCCATGTGCTATAGAGCAGAATTACTCATAGAGTTTTCTCGCAGACTGTGATCTTTATGGAAGCAGATCTTTCCTTCCACAGCTGCTGAGTGGGTTCAAACTGCCAACCTTTCGGCTAGCAACTGATCACAAACCGCTCTTACCACTTAGGGACTTTTGCATGACCATAAACCCACTGCTGTCCAGTCAATTCTTACTCACAGTGACTCTATAGGACAGAGTTGAACTGTCCCTGAAGGTTTCCAAGGCTGTAAATCTTCCTGGAAGCAGACTGCCTCATCTTTCTCCCACAGAATGGCTGGTGGGTTTGAACCTCTGACCTTTCAGGTAACAGGTGAGCCCTTCACCATTATGCCACCAGAGCTCTTTTGGGTGACAACAGCAGTACAGAAGCAGGTAAATGGCACAGTTTTTGTTTTCCTGAATGAGCAGACTTCCCAAGTTGTCTTTTTGCCCCTGAACTGCCATGTTGCACAACTCTGGGGACACCACTGACATTGTGATCTAAGTGAAGGGTGCCCTGGGAGCACTACTCAGGACTGAGCATCTGCCCT